GTCACATAGCGATTAGTAAGGCGCGCATGGGATAGAGTGCCTTGGTCGGTGAACGCCACTTCATCATAATTAATATTCGTACTCACGATTGTCAAGATAACAAACCCGTGGTTGATTAGTAGAGCGTTTGATTCACTGACCAAAGGTCTCGGGTTCGAATCTCAGGTGGTGACAACTAGTAAACCAGAAACAGCTATTTTTGTCTTCCTTGTCTTTGTCGGCGTATCTGTTCTTTATTCTCACTTTTGATTTTGCACCCCAAAGTTTAAGATACGTTTTAAATACAGCACCATATTTTGCTTAAGAAAACGTTGGTCTAGATTATTTCCGTTAGGTGGTTTTGTGTTACTTCTTTTTTATGATTTCTAGACTGTATGTTAACTGTGTTTTCTTGGCACGGAAAGGGAATATGAGTGCTGCATCCTCGTCTCGAATTATTACGAAAACAATGTTTTGTGGTCAAATAAACATACTCAAGGCGAAATGCTTCAAAAGCTACCGTAATGAACAAACACCTGGGTCTTAAAAAGGAAAACAATTATCTGGCAGAAAGCCCGTCGCCCCCAGACATTTATAAGGGTAGTTTCGCTCTCATAAAATGAGTGATGGCTACTGACTTTGCAAATAACAAGTTCCTCCTTTATACGGGTATTGTAAATGCCACTTCAAGCAACCAATAATGCTTTGTGAGAAGTTATTAAATTATATGAATGTTGAGAAACAGTTGGGGGGATTAAAAGACGTTTGTTCGCTGATGGTAAATTTTTCAGCCACGTGATAAATGGCTTTACATGGTGCGTCTGACCGTCTTCAAAACAAACTTTTTCTCGCCCCATCTTGCGTTGAGCGTGGCCGACCTCAGCGTGCTTGGGATCGAGTAGTCTGCATGTTGAAAGTCTCGTTGTGTAATAAGCAGGACTTTGTTTTGCTGCCCCGGGGTTTCTGGACGTATGCTCCGCTTTCTCGTTTGTCCTTTTTGATACTTACGAAGTGTTGCCAAATTAGACATTGGTTGCAGTTTTTGTCACATTTCCGTGATTAATCTAGCCCGTTTGTATAAAAACCTGGCTGCCTTGGCTAGGTTGGAGCCCACAGCAGCAATCAGAATTGGTGGATTCCATACGCTACAGCAGTTGGACGGGTATTTTTTACCCGAATTTAAATAAAATCACGGCTCTCGGTCGAGACCTTGAAACTCAATTGGTTAAGGCGTTGATTGGGCTTAAATCGTGCACTTGCCGTCTTGACTTGCCGAGGCCGCCAGAAGGAGGATAAATAGCCAATTCGAGTGCACTTTAAGTCCGCCACAGGACGGCTGAATATCTGCTTTACGCCGTAAACCGCATAAAGCGGTATCGATGGTACCACGTTACATATGGGCCAAACTGGATACAAGAAAGTTCTTCTTTTGTAATAGAGTGGTCGAAGCCTGGAGCGCTCTGCCCTTGGATTTTGTTATGTCCGCTTCCGTTGGGGTCTTTAAGATGAAGCTAGACTGCCATAGCAATGCACACTCTAACACCAGCCGATCTCTGTAGTCTTTTCACGGGCGAAGAACTATCGTATTCATGTAGTTTTACTTGCTACGTTTGAGTAACACTTATTTCTGAAAGTTAGGAAGGTCCCGCCAAGCCATGCGAATAGCTCATCTCATGTGGTTTACTAGTCACCAGGGGCTAACCTGTTTCAACCCTAGTAAATTGCGGCCTACTTTAAAGATATGTTCTCTTTTCTTACAGCAACTTGAGGAAGCTCATAACTCGTTGGTGCAGCAGCTCAATGACCGTAGGGAGTCTATTACCAAACTACAAACGGCCGCAGCTCAACTACTGAGTAAAACCCGACCATCTGCCGGTGCTGACGATCGGACCGATTTGACTGAATCCTTCGTTGTGCAAGAACAACTAGCTGGTCTGAATGCTCTCTGGGATCGCGTGCAAATGATGGCGAAGGCAAGAACGGAACGTCTGGCAGAGGCCCGAAAATCTGTAAGTTTGATGCTCAGTAGGGTAGAGGAGGACGGATCACCTTGTAACATCTTCTTGATGTTAAATTGACTCGTTTTTTTTCTCGTTAAATCCCCGTTATAGGCCGAGGACTTCCAGAAGGCCTGCCAGGATGTATTTGACTACTGCACGATCGCTGAGTATGCACTTCGTAAACTTGCTCTTCTTCCGGAGGGTGATGACCCGCGAGACACGGTGATAGCGTCGGGCTCTCTGGGACCAGAAGATGCCCTTGCACAGGCTTCCCAGTCCCTCAAGACAGTCGCCAACGGCCTGTCCGAACAGGAGATTCGCGTCTGTGACTGTCTCGCTCTTGGAAATCGTATCCTGGCCGATTGCAGACCCGAAGCCGCTGCTCGAGTGAAGCAGTGGATGCATGCTGTCAATAGCCGTTGGGAAGAGGTGAAGATAAATATTGTTGCGTACTGTGTTGCTACTGACTATTTCGGAGTAGAGATTTTTTAATATTTATGTTTGTCTATATTTTGCTTTGCAGCTTCTTGAGTGGACGCAGATGCGCGAGTGGAAACTGTCTCAGGCAACCGCGGACCAGCACGAGCGCCGAAGAATGCTGGAATCCCTGATAAACTGGTTGGATAATGCTGATAGGCGCCTCAGGTCGTGCCCTACACGTGGTGAAACCCAACCGGACGACGCCTTCTCTCAGTCTGATGTCTCCTCCGAGTCCTCGTTGCCGATGAATGTTCAGTCGATGGGTTTAGATATGGACCAAGACCACATTCGACGCCTACTGAACGAGCATACGCTGTTCGAAACTGAGTTTGCCGCGCGCCAGACTGATCGGGATGTGATTCTACAGCATGCAAGGAAGCGAGCAGAAGAACCAACACTGCGTAAACACAAATCCATCGGCGCTACCTCCAAACCACAGTCGCTGAGAGGACACTCTGTCGGACGTGGAGGCTCCGTAGGACGTCGCAGTCTGGGCAGTAGGCGCCAGCCTCTGCCTGAGGAGCCACCCAAAACAGTCTATGCTAATGAAAAGGTAAATGAGATGAATGCCAAATGGGATCACATAGTGGCAGCCAGCAAGGCACGTCGGCAGGCTCTGGAAGAACGCCTAGCGCATGCTGAAGAAGTGGAGCGTCTCAAGGGCTTTGATTTTAACGTCTGGCGTAAGCGGTACCTGCAGTGGTTAAACGAGAAGAAGGCCAGACTCGTAGACCTTTTCCACCGATACGACCTTGATCGAGATGGCAAGCTCTCGCACAAAGAGTTCGTTGATGCTATCCTCAATTCAAGTAAGTCAAATAAAACATCTGGGTACTTGAAATCTACATTTTTATGTTTAAAATACCCATTTCAGCAAAGATCCACAGAGTAAATGAAGCACAGGGATTTATGTAAAATAGGAAGGGTTATAATACTAGTAGTATCGGTAGGGTAGATAGGCGAGGCACTCAGTGGAGTTTGTGAAAGGCGTTGTGAGTACTCGGATTTCTGGTATTAGTTTGTTTTATTACTCGAATGAGGTGCTGGAACCGACGCAAGATATGAACAATGGTAACTAGAGCGTGTAAACGGGCGGAAAACAGGAAATTCAAGGTTACTGGTCAAATAAAGTTGGTTGAGTAACCCGGTCTGCGACAGGCAAACTTTGCACTAGCCTCAACCGTAACCCAACCTTAACTATTTACCCACCCCTAACCTTGAGTTTTACCTATCTCTTGAACATTTTTATTAAACTCAGTCGCTTCTTCTTCTTCTGGACATATTAGATTGTTGTCCATATTTTTTTTCTGTGGGGTGTCATTATGGATGACTACTCCAACTAGTGACTTTGCCTTTACACCCCGCTCGAGAAGTGCCCCTGCCAGTTTCCCTCAAAGTCCAGTTTGATTTATTTTGACTTCATTATTGTTATTAGTTGACCTTATTTTGTTTCTATTTATCACATTCTATTAAACTCAGATCTTGCGAGACATCCTATGGATCGTAAGTGCCCACCAGGGATGAGGCATTTAAAATTGCATGTCTTTTTTACGTTAAAGGTAAATAGATGTGTCGCTTTTATCGAGGAGACTGGGAGATTCCTATTTTATTTGAGATTTCGCCGTATTTCACTTTATTTACACATGCCTTGTTTGCGTTAGCGACAAAGATGTTCACGCCCCTGTCTGGTTCGGACCGTTGTCGTTTTTTGCTGCTCCAGGTGACCCCTATTCCCTTTTCATTCTCCCTAAAATTCACAAACCTTGCGCACCGTTATTTTCCTTGTTTTTTTTAATTTAGCTTACATTTGCTTGTCCTAATAAGTGCTTTTTATTACCAGAATTCCCCTCGTCGCGCCTGGAATTGGAACTGGTGGCCGATATTGTGGACGCCAAGGGCGAGGGTTTCATTGACATGCAAAAGTTCAACGCCGCTCTCCGCAACGGAGCCCCTGCAGGCGCGGCCAAAGTCGACCTGACGAAGGCCGAGCGCAGCGCCATTGAGCACGAGACGAGTCATCAAGTCAGTTTGTGCACTTGCCACAATACTTACCGCATTTGCAAAATCTCTGGAAACATGTATAAGGTGAGTTTCGATGTACCCTGTTGCTTCACTCATTGCACGGTCATCGCTGACTACTGGATTGGCAGTTGAGATGAATTATTGTGTTTACAAACAAAACTACAAATATTTAC